TAAGTATTTGTTTTCTTTGCAATAGCATTGTAGATTTGAACGAGATTTTATGATAGATATAATAGTAAAATTTTGTTCATATATCATAAATTTCTAAAATAAATAATTTGATAATTTTAAATATTATATTTAGTTGGGTTTAGATTTGTAAAATATGTATTAATAAGTTTATGTTATAAAAATAATTAAAAATGTAAAAATTTCCAGACTCACCGTCAAGTCTTAAGCTCATAGCCCATCTTTTTCGGACAGTTTGGCTTCTTCTTTCTTTACCATTTATATACAAATAAACATGCACTGTCAAACTAATAATGCGACAAAACAAATCAAATTTTGATACAAACAAATTAATTATAACCAGCTTAGTAAAAACAAACTGCAAATTTTTACATGTTTAAGAAGAATTTAGATCAAAAATCTTAAGGTGCACCAGAATGTGATTAATACAGGAGATTCACTCTTCTTGAATCTCAATTATTTGTGCGTGTTGACCAAAAAACTGTTTCCTGCTCAAACAGAAAATTTCTACTTCTACATCAAATACATATCTAATAATATTGACAAAAAGGGAAAATGTTTTCGAAAAACTATGATATTTTTGTTGAACTTACGGGATCTCCGTTTTGTCTAAAAAAATTGCAAAATGAACTGCTTAAAATTGTATAATTATTATTTACGTTTAAATCTCGTCTAGATGGTTAAGTTAAGTTTGTTCTTTTGCTTGTGAAATCAAAAAAGTTGCTCTTTTATATAAGCTAGATAATTTCAGATTATCATTTTTTTGTAACAATGTTAATTTGGAATTTTATTACATAAAAACGTGTTACTTTTTTTAATCAGTAACATGCATTTGTATATCGGATTTGGTAACATGATGATGATATTAACATAAATCATTATATTATAAGTCATTCGCCCACTCATAAACATTTCAACCAAACAAAAAAATATATTCATCCACGAAAATGATTTTATGATAATGCATTGTGTCTGTATATTAATTAACAAGTGATATACGAGTGTGTATACCTATTCTATATCGATGAAAATTAAGCGTATAATAATTGAACAAATTATCACAAAGGTCCGAAAAAGAAAGACAATGGGTTTTGTTATTATTCTGACTTATAAGTCAAATAGACAACAACTTTCCCCATACCTAAGATAGTTAATTTAGGTGAAAGGACTAGAATTTAAAGAGAATTATCACATAATAATAGTATGGTATTAAAAAATGGCCTAACACATTGCCACGTGACCGTCGTCGACAATATTTCTTCTAGAGCTGTGTATATAATATTTTTTAATTTTTTGAGTTTTATGAAATCATGATTAAATTCAAAATTTATACGTCAAACAAAAAAAAAAAATCAAAATTTATAACCACGATCGAGTTAAAAACTGAGAATTCCAAAATTTCGCATGATAAAAGAGCTTCGCATTCATTACTTCATACATATATTTTTGTCTATATATGATATGATTAATGTATAGATTGGTGAGTTTTATAAATATCTTTTACGTTATTCGATTATTATCCGATTAGAGCCAATACATGGACGAAAATGGATCTTTACCAAAACAGCTGGGCAGCTTTGAAGATGCAATGTCCGATTATAACTAACAACGCGTTTTATCTCAGTCCTTAGAAGGCTCCAAAATATTGACTTTGAAAAACCAAATTCGCATTATTGTTGTTTTGTTATATATAATCCAAAAAAGAGGAAACAAACATTTAAATGAACACATTCTGTATTACTTAAATTAACGTTGTTTTGTTACATACTTATATACTTTAGATTTTGAATGATACATTTGAAAATTATGGCCATATCAACTAAATTAATTATATAAAAATAATTCCCTATCCGCAAAGATTATAAAATCAAATAAACAATAATGTTTTTGGTTCGTTTTTTCTTTTTAAAGTTTGTATAGAGATATATGTATAGTTTTATCAAACCGAATACTTTTGAAATACTTCGAACCAAAAAGAAGTTGAAATTTCTCAAACTAGTAAATTTAACTTTCAACACTTGTTCCAAATTCTATATGTTTTTGCATCTACTACATTTGTTCATTTTTGTTGTATGTTTTTGTTACGACTCTATAATCTCGTTCTAACCATTTATTGTTATTTACATGGTTTTGAAAATACAAATGCTTTCAACCGCTAGATCACCATAAAAAAAAACTAGTATTATTATAAGACAAAATATCTACTACATTTTTAAAATAACAAAATTTAATGACGGACCATATCCCAAACCTCAACAATTCTATATAAACCCACTAAACCTAAACCTTTTTATAAAACCACACACACACAAAAAACACTCAATAACACAAAAAATTACAAAAACAAAAACATGAAATCTCCAAAACTCTTCCTCGTAACACTCTTCTTATCACTTCAAACACTCTTCATTGCTTCTCAAAC